GGCAACAACAATGATGATAAGGTCGGCAAGAGTATTGTTGGTGAAGTCACATGCCTTGCTAGAGTTTAAAGTTTTGTTCGATCTCAACTTTTTTATTGACTACTTTTGACTTGATACATAGAAGACACATGCATGTATATAAATCTGAAGTTATATATAGATATACATGTATGTATACGAATCCAGTGTACCGCCAACCATTCTCTTTTGTTTTAGGTCAAGTTTGACTACTCAAAATAAGTACACACTTTTTATCTTTTTATTTTTTTTTCATCACATCACCTCTCTATTTTTCTGCACATCTTTTCGTAAAAAGATAAAAAGTACACTTATTTAGGTCATCCCAGACAATCCCTTAGTTTTAGATTATTAGATGCATGTCATGTTCAATAATTTGGTTATCATGAATTGATTTTAGGAGAAAGCTCAATTCAGTGTAAGGTTATAAAAATTCAAGTCAATTAGTAAACTTTATAAACATTAATAATTAAAGTCTTGTTTTTTTTTAATTTTTTTTACAAATCTATAATTATTTTGTGAAAGCTCTACATAATTGTGATTTAAAATATGGCCCTTAATTTACGCAAACCTAATCTTAGATAGCTTTTCATACATAACTATATAAAATTTTTATCCAAATTTAATTTTTTTTAATAAACATGCGTAGCCAAGTACATATTTCTTGTTTTTATTATAAGAAATTACTTATGGATTTCAATTTACCAATTTAATAAATAAATAGGTTAAGTGATTCATAAATTTGGCATAGTTAAAAAAATAAAAATAAATAATGATTAGGTTTTGGATGAGCTTCTAAGCCACTTTAATATCTAATTCAACACTAACTCCACGAGTCCAACTCTAATCCATTTTTACGTAAGTGTTATAATATGAGAAAAATTATAAATTTTATGCATGAGTAGACAAATTTTTACACAAATAAAATAGACAATGAATAAATAGTTTATTCACAAATGTGATTTATTATATCGGATGAACCCCAACGATAGGATAAATTAAAATTATAAACTCATGCAATGCATTTATATTTTATGGTAAATGTATTTTTTGTAATTTAATCTTTAATTTTTACTCATTAAACTATGACATGTATTTCTTATCAATAATTTATTAGTCAATGTGCACATAAGTTGGTCCGGACATTCGGATATTAAAAAAAAAATTAATTGTTAAAATTTAATAAAATGGCTCAAAATTTAATTGTCTAAATTATTTTTCAATATATTTTAGACAAATTTTATGCTATTATTTAATTTAATTTTTATTTTTTCATATAATATTTATATTTGTGCATAACACGGGTATTATGATAGTTTAATAATAATTCAAAAATAAAAAGTGGAGTAAACCCTTTAAAGTAAAATGGCTAATAGATGTTGAATGTGTTTGGTAGTTTGGGGAGTATTTTCTGGCTAAAATAGTTAATAAATTAAACCAAGTTATTATGTTACTCTTTTTAATTTTTTTTATATATCTTTTATAAAAAAAAAAATTAGAATAATTATTTCTTAAACAAAAGCATACAGCAGGCACCTCCTCTTTGTAGTTTTATTAGTGTAGGTTAGCTGGAGAATCACAATCTTGCTTGTAAATTAAGGCCATGTTTGGGATAATCTTTTTTGGTTATTTTAGTCATAAAAATACAAAATAAATTAAAAAGTTAATAAGATAAAATATCACATTCAGATTATAATTATTTTATTTTTTTTCTCATAAAAATCAAAAAAATCAAAAAATTCATCCCAAATAAAACTTCTTAACCCTAAATTAAAATAGTCAAAATATTAAAAAAATTAAAAAATCAACTCCCGAAGGAAGAGTCATTCTTTAACGTAGGTTAGTTAGTGAATCACATTCTTACTGGTAGATTAAAGGTTTGTAGAGTGATTTTTCAAAAAGTGATTTTAAAGTGAGTTTTTTTTTTTTTTTTTCTTTTAATGAAAGAAATTTAATTTTACGAGGGCATCATAATTATTTCTCCTTTTAATTCTCAAGTCAAACCTTATCACTCTACAATTATTCTATGAAAAATTATTCTAAATTTTTTTGACTTTTTTCATTTATACACGTGGCAAACAAAAACTAAAATGTTAAAAATTTTAAATATTTTATCAAAAAATTTATTAAATACCCGCATAAATGTGAATCTTGCACATAAATATGAATCTCATATTTATGCGAGTATTTAATAAATTTTTTAATAAAAATTTGGATAAATTATCAATAGAACCCGATAGTTGGACTTAATTTACATCAAGTTCGATTGAAAATAAATCTTAATAAAATTGTTACTAAAAATATTTTTTTGGGACCATTTTTTATATATGCCATTAAAATTAACAATTAATGACTTTTTTGTCACGATTTTTATAAATTGTTACTAAAACTTATAATTAGTGATTTTTTTTTTGTGATAAATTTTTTAAACTATTAGTGAAAGTTGAAAATTAGTGACTTTTTTTTAGGATGATTTTTTTAAACTATCACTAAAACTTATAATTAATGATATTTTTGTGACTAAAATTTTAAAGTGACATTAAAAATTAACAATTAATAACTTTTTTAATGAAGTTTGATAAAATAATATTATTAATTATTAAGTGTCCTAAATGTTTAGTATCATGAGCATTACTCTAATGACAAGGAAGTTATATTATGCTTTACAAAAGGACGGTGGAGATAGATAATAAAAAAAAGAAAAGAACGAATCTCACACTAAGAATTGATGTGATATAACAATTCTTTTGTTTGACATATAAAAAGAGGAGTCATTTTGAAAGATTATGTATCATATATATAAGTTATAATTAGGGTGTGTATAATACCGCTGAAACTGTCGAAATCGTTAAAACGGTATCGAATCGCACCGCCAAGGTAAATTTGTTATTATTTGCTAATCGAACCGTCGGTTTTTGGTAAGAAAAATGGCAAATTCTAATGATACTTTCATCAATCTGTCGGTTTTTATTTTTCTTTCAAACCGCACCGACCCGCACCGCTATTAAATCATGTTTGATAAGATTTTAAAAATTCTTTTTTACTTAAGTTTGCTTGTTGTTCTATACCTTAGAATATAGTATTATATTACTGCTCGAGGGGAATTCAAGATGTCAGTAATCCAAAATAAAGTTGGATTCCAATTCACCTTTCAATCTTTTTTTTTTCTAGCGATGTTGCAAACTTGCATTAGCTCACTTTTCAATCTAAATACTTTTCAACAGTAAACATTTTCAATATATTGTAAACCCTGAATGATATTAATTTTATGTATTGTATTTGATCATTGTAGCTTCCACAGATGCTTGTGATGAACTGATTGCATAGTCGTTGATATTATCATTTTGTTGCTACACTTGCTGCATCAGAAGAAAGCTTCGCAAGATGCTTAACATCACGGTATCTCTCGTCTATTTTTTACTCTTTGATTTAAGTTTTGTAATTTGAATTATATTTTTTATAAACCGCCAATCCGCCCAAACCGCCTATCTCTCGTCTTTTTTTTACTCTTTGATTTAAGTTTTGTAATTTGAATTATATTTTTTATAAACCGCCAATCCGCCCAAACCGCCAAGGCAAATCCACCATTATTTGCCAACCGAACCGTCGGTTTTTGATAAGAAAAATGGCAAATTCTAGTGACACTTTTATCAATCCGCCACCCGCTATATGGTTTCTATTTTTCTCTCAAACCGCACCGACCCGCACACCCCTAGTTATAATATACTATTTATTCGGTTAATTATCATAAATATTATAATTAAATTTTTTAATCATAAAAAAAAATAATACGTCATAATTAAACACTACATAAGATATAACAAAGAATATTTTAAATCAGAATCAAAATAACAATTATGATAAGTCATAACTAATGACTCATAATTAATAGTATAATAAATTATAACTATAGACCAACGTTATAATTGAGTCTTCGTTTGGTAATGATTTTTTTAGTTAGTTTTTTGACTTTTTTAACTTGAAATGTTTTTGTTCATTTTGTAGCCTTGATTGGCTTCTTTGACTTTTTAACTTTGGAATAGTAAATTTTTTTTTTTTTATCCTGTTGTGATTTTTTGACTTTTTTGTGATTAGTTAGCCAACTCAAAAACCAAACAACCCCTGAAACATCTCAAAATAGAGGGTGTATTATAAAATTTCCTTACATAGAGAATTGATTCTTTTTTTTTCCTTTTCTTTATTTTATTTTATTTTATTTTATGAAGATTGTAGGATGTTATAGATATAAATTTGAACATATAGTAAAAAAAAATTAAAGAAATAAAAAAAAAATCAACAGATAAATTAAGGGATAAAATTGATACAAAATGTCATCTAAAATAATAAATAAAAAAAAAACTTCTCACCAACCTATTTACAAAGGATGGACCTCTCACTAATAACAAAAATACTTACTAAACCTAATGTCTTATACCTATATTGGACATTTTAACAATTTTTTCTTTTAATAATTACCTCTATGAAAATCACTTTTGACCACCACCAACTACTTTTATCTAACACAACTAACTACTTTTATCTAACTTCAATTACCACCTCTGTCTACTATATTTAGGGTTATTTGAAATGTTCTAAATATTAGTATACTTTCTGACTTTTTTAAAAATATTGGGTTAAATTTGAAGTAAAGTGATAAAAAGGTAATATGATTTAAATAAAATGATATAACTTAAATAGAATAGTGACTTTTCCACTTTTTAATTTTTTTTAAGAATTAACAAACAAAGTCTTAATCGTGGACAACCACGTTTGGCTACTACTACTAGCCAATGACGTTTCTCATTTATTTTCAAAACAAAATTTTAAAATGCATATTTACTATATATATATATATATATATTTAATTAAAAATAAATATAAACATGTTTAATATTTTATTATGTAAAAAAATAAGAAGAAAAAATGAAGACAAAAAACAAACAGGGGGCAAACACTATATATATTTGAAGGTTTGGGTACGAGAGAGCGACATAGAGAGAGGAGAGAGCGTGAGAATGGAGAAGAAGTACGAACAGTTTAAAGGGCAGCCGAGGCTGCCGAAATTCGCTGTCCCGAAACGTTACGATATCAACCTCAAACCAGACCTCGTCACCTGTAAGTTTGCCGGTGCCGTCAAAATCACTGTCGACGTTGTCACCGGCACTAAGTTCATCGTCCTCAACGCCGTCGATCTCGTTGTTGACCGCAACTCGCTGCACTTCACAGATACCAGCGGCTGCAAGGTATCGCTTCATCTATTTATTATTCTTATTATTTTTTATTTTTTATAATTGTTGTTGTTGTTGTTATAGATGTGAATCAATTGGGTATTATTATTTGAATTTGTTGTTGGTTTGTAATAGGTAGCGGAGGTTTTGGGGGTTGAACTTTTCGAAGAGGATGAGATCATGGTGGTGGAGTTTCCTCAGAAACTGCAGCTTGGACTTGGGGTTTTGTGCATTGCCTTTGAAGGAACCTTAAATGACAAAATGAAAGGCTTCTACAGAAGGTTTCTCTCTCTATTTATATAGGAAAATGAGTGAGAGTACTAATTAGTGCTATCATTAATGATGTGACAGTGGGTTTCACCAGAAATGATTTAATGTTTTGGTCTTGGTGTTATATTTTTTTTTTTTATTGAGTGTGATGTTATTAGTGGTCTTTTAGAGTTCCAAAATTAGTGATCTCTATCATTGTTGATTTATATACTATAGAGTTCATAAAAAAAATATTATAGATGAAATGTTATATAAATATATAAGGTGTATTTCATTATATTTTTTTTTAGACAAACACTACCTCAAATAAAAAAAATCAAATTTTAATATATAAAAAATTGTGCAACTCGCCGGTGTATTGCACACGTAGGCCGCAAACCCACCCTTATTAACCCATAATTTCCTTAGAAAGAGAAATCAATAGTTCAAATTTATTTTATTTATGAAATTCACACTTCATTAACTTAATCTTCATCACACTAATATATTCGGAAAATCAGAATAAGTTATAAGTTCATAAGGGTGAGTTCTTAACATTTTTCCTCATACATATACTAGTAATTACACACGTGTGATGAAATCTACAACCCTAGGCAGTTGATAGATTTTTTGTTTGGTATGGCATTAACTGCTCTTGTGTTTGGTATTTTCAGAAATAAAAGAAAATGTTACAAAGCTACAATTATGGTGTGTTTGGTTGAGGGATTTAGGGAGGGATTTGGAAATGGAAAGGGAAAGGGAAAAGGTGTGTGAAACTATGTGAAATATATACCTATTTTATTCACATTTCACCTACCTTTTCCATTTCCCTTTCCAAATCCCTCTCCAAATTCCCCAACCAAACACAACATTAACTAATTTGTAGGCTTCATATAATTGTAACTAGCGGTGGCTGCGCACACGATGCGGATGCGAAAAACTATATGTATATTTTATGATTAAAGAAGATGAATAGAAACGTACCATATTTGTGATTTTTAAATATCTGAATTTATTTTATTTTTTTACATGACAGTTTTCAAAATCATTAATTGTTAGGGATAATTTGAAATTGGTAGTTACACAAACCATGGGTGTCTTTAGAATCGGTAGTTATAGAAGGGTAATTTAGGAATAAAAAAAGATGTGAAGAAATTGTTCATACCAAGTAACCTCCCGACTTTATATATGAAAAATTTTATTTTCACATACTTACTTATTTCAGTGCATATTATTTTTCAATACACACACTTTTTTATTTGGTTTTTAGTTATTCTTCCCGTTTCACACACTTGATATTCCAATTATATCTTAACTCATATTGTTATACACACATCACCTAAACCCTCATTCCACACACATTTACCCTCCTTAACCAATATATGAGTTAATAGGCACCAAATGGCCCCAAAGCTCCAGCCAAATTAGTTAAATTGTGAATATTGTTCTCTCTCCTCTTATATGACTATTATTATTTATTTATTTATTTTAAAAAATTTATTTATTAAAATTGTGTGCTTTGTATTTATATATTTATATATTTTGATTTTTTTTTTTTTTTTGTTCTTATAACTGGTTTATTTTATTTACTTAAATTTTTTTCTTTTGTGCAATTAATTAGGAACTCTGTGATGTCTAAATAATACATGAAGTGGATAAGAGTGGAAAAAAAAAATGAAAAAAAAATAGAAGAGAAAATAGAGAGATAACGGAGTAGACTGGAAGATTATATATATGACCAGCTCACCATCACACCAAAACCACCACTGAACAGCTTCGTAATCCACCTCCAAACAGAGCTTTTCCAACCTAATAGTAGGGAATTTATGTCTTTGACACATCAAATTCACGCGACCCTTGCTTGACGTCGTTGAATCCAATTAATTGAAGTTTCAATTGGATGGGGTATTCAAAGGATTTGGGTTTTGCAGAGTGAAGGATTTGAATTTTGCTTAAAAGATGTGTATTGAGATTTTGTTATTTTAAAAAGGTGTATTAAAAAAATTTGATATAATATTGGGGGGTGTATTTTCATGACCATTATAGTAAATTTTCTTTTATGGTACAATTGTCATTAAAATAATATTTCATTAAGTGTTTGTATGGAGGTAAATAAGTATGTAGAAATAGAATTTTCCTTAACTTAGAATGCTATTATTAGTATCTCATCAATTATTTTGGACCCCTTAGTTTTTAGTTTTTAGTTTTTTTATTATTTTATTATTTTTTATTATTACAATAATAACCTCAAATGAAATTACTAAAAAAGACATAAAATTTTTTGAGACACCTCATCTCACAATTAAGGCTATATATCGATTACATTATGAGTTAAGGTTTACGAGACCACCTACCTCCATTACCACCCAACCATCTCAAATCCCACATTCAAAACTTATCCACCCTTAAAACTTTGAAAACCCTTTGGCGACAATATTCTGGTGACAATGGTGGCAACCATTTGATTACATACACTTCTCCGGCAATGATAATAAGTGAATTTGTTTGACAATCACAACTCTATAAGACGAGAGAAGTACAATAATAAAAGCTCAGAAGAAGTTCATAACTTTGATGGTGTTTTTAGTTCATAAGAGATTGGTTAGGTATTGAAAAAATTGACAAACATAATAAAAATTGTTCGTCATTTTTTTGGGGACTGAACTTCTTAACATATGACTAAAATTTAGGAATACATGTCCGAACATTGTTTATTTGTTAAGGAACAGGTAACCGAACATTTTTTATTTATTCGGAAATAGATAATCGAAGCAACAGTAGAAGCAGACAAATAAAAGAGGTCGGATTACCCTTGGATAATCGACCGGAGGTTGACAGGGGCGAAATCTTGACCAATTTTGCTCACATAGAGAGCATATAAGTACAGTAAGGCCATGGATGAATGACAAAAAATCAACTAGAAAAGCATAACAGTGGATTGTGTTGTGTTTTTGGGGTATGAGGCTATGCATTTGAATGGGTGGAAAGTTTTTACAAATATAATTTTGGTATTATTTGGGAGGATAAAATAAATTTTAAGAGTTTTACAATTTACAAGTGGGGGTCCAAAGAAATAGAGGATCCAAAATAATTGATGGAGTGCTAATAGCAGTACTCTTTCTAATACCAAGTCTTTGGGCAGACTATCAATCCCAACACCTAAGGCCCATCATAATCCAAAGGTATTATGAATCATCTTTCCAAATTTGTAAATAAACACAATATTAATGGGTTTCACCTCTATCTTAATCCAATCCCTCCTTTATCCCCCAAAACAAACGAGGCCATAGAGTAATGAATGTGTGACTCCAAATGATTTAGAGGTTCTAAGCCGAAATAATGAATGTGTGAAGCATATATAACCAGTTAAAGGAGAGCAACTAACTTAACTTGAATGTTTTCTAGAATTGATATATATATATATATATATTTTATCAAGAAACTAAACAAAGACCCGGATTCTGTTGGAGGGCCCGGTCTGTCGGGCTTGGTACCTGGGCGAGCGTTTCTTGCGTCAGACCCTGGGTTTACCGGAGCAGATAGTTCCGGGTCTGCCTCCTACACACATGAGGCATACTGAGGGGTTCTCTTTTGAGCACATGAGGGACTACACCGTCGGCTGGGGTGCAGAGTGCCACAGAGGCGAGGGCGACTACGTAGAGTACATCCGGTCCTACATTATGCGACCCTTGAGCGGTGGTCGTCGGGCTGAGAGGGAGAGGACAGCGGCAACGGCAGCTGGGGCAGGAGTGGGAGCGGGGGTTGGAGCAGGAGCGTCGAGGAGAGCTCGAGTCCGCGGTAAGGGCGCGGTTCAGAGAGGTCGGGGGGTTAGCTGGCCTGCTCTGCCCACTGTATTGACATGCCAAGGGCAGGGTGGGGCGACGTACCAGATTCCCTTTGCTTCTCCCCCGGCTGACCATGAGTTGGTCGGGTTCTATGACTTACCACCTCTGGTATGCACTGCTTCCTCTTGCATCTTGCATTGTCATTTTATTTCAGTTTATTTTGATATTCCGCAGAATACTGATGCCTTTAATACTTTTGCAGGCGTCCTCTGAGTACACCCGGCAGTCCCTGGAGTTGAATGCCTCCATGATGGGGATGCTACAGCGGACCTTCGACCTCCTGGCCCTCTATAGTATTCCAGTATGTTCTTCTGATCACGTCCTCAAACCATACTCATAAGCTACTTCACATAATCTGGTGCACAACACAACCCTCGATAAGCTGCTCACGTCATTCATACACTGTACTCATATACTGCATTCTGCACTGATAAACTACTCACAGCATTTGCACACTGTACTCATACACTATATTCTGCACTAGTAAACTGCTCACGGCGTTTGCACACTGTATTGCATACATTGTATTCTGTACTGATAAACTGCTCACGGCATTCGCACGCTGTACTCATACACTGTATTCTGCACTGATAAACTGCTCACGGCATACTGATACGTTTGACTCTTATACTTTTCAGCCTCCTTTCCCGATTCCCACTGTGGGAGGTGTTCCAGCTAGGTCCTCTATTCCTGCTCGAGGAGGGCGTGGAGATGCTGTACGTCCCCGTACCAAGGCGGGGCGTGTTCATGTCGGGAGTAGCTCTCGGGCGCCGACCCCTGATGATGACGATGATGATGATGATGAGTCCGAGGCAGAGGCAGAGGCCGAGAGTATTCCCCCGCACCAAGGCGGGGCGCACTCACGTCGGGAGTAGCTCGCGGGCTCCAGTCCCTGATGACGATGACAAGGAGTCGGAGGCAGAGTCGTCGTCGTAGGAGACCGGAGACGGCTCGGACTTGGGCTCAGATGACAGCGCTGATGATGCTCCTGGACCTTCGTCCAAGAAGAGGACTAGGACGGACTCCCAGGCCTGAGATCCTTTGTCATTGATCCAGATTTTTGCTGTTTTTCTTTTTCTTTTTTCTTTTGTACCTTTTGCTGGTAACTAGAGTACCTTGTACTGCCTCAGGCAGATTTTTATTTCTAAAACAATGTACTTGAAAAAGATGATGAAATGAAACAAACTTTTTGTCTGAAAAAGTGTTGTATTTGTACATTTCATGTATTGCATCGCATTGTATCATGTTGCACCTCAATGTGAATGGAATTGACCTATTGTCTGAAAATTGAACACTTGCATTGTA